GAGACTGAAGAATCACAATTGCACACTTGAATTCTCGTGCAAATCAGACTCGCAAAACTGTCTAAGCACAAATAAAGATCAAACCTCAGTGCACAATCCAAAAACCTAAAGTTTGACACAAAGTCAAACTCGTTCAAAAGTCAAAAAGTCAACATTCAGGTCAAAGGCGCCCCAACGCCCCTTTCTGGGCACATTGCGCCCACTAAAATACAAATTAGTCAGGTTCTTCAACCAAGAACGCACAAATCGTTCAGCCAAACAACTTTAAAACCAGCCTAATCCATTTAGTCAGGAGTTCTAACCTTTAGATATGATTCCCCTTGATGTCTTAATGGATAGATTTTCCAACTTTATCCATTAGAATGGTCCAAACAAACAAGATCTAAAACCCTAAGTCCCAAAATTGCCCAAAATGCACTTATTTCATGTTAAGGTCAAGGAGGGCTCTTGCATGCACTCTTTTCCTCATCAAGTGACCAGATCTAAACCAAAACAATACTCCAAGGCTCTAGGGTTTTTTTAATATCCATGGGACAAGCCTCAAGAAGCTCAAAACTTACCAAAATGGACCAAATACACCACCAACTTCTAGATCTATGAATGGAAGCACACAAAGCTTGGATCTTTAAAACTTACAAAGGTCCAAAGATGATGTGAAGGCTGAAAACTCCATAAGAAATGATTCCAAGATCAATTTTTATTATTTTCTTCACTTAAAAGCATTAAAATAACACCAAGAGTGAGTTTAGGAGAAAGGATGAGCTCCAATGCTTCAAGAAAGGCTAGGGTTTGATTATGTGCTCAAGGAGGTGATGAAGGATACAAATGATGGAACCCTAGGTTAAATGTTCTTAAATAGACCCAAATCCAAAGAAAAAGACATCAGCCCATGAGGCTGGGTCCACGCGCCTCCTTAGGGCGCCCCGACGTCTAAATACAATAAATTAGTCGCACTTATGAATAAACGAATGCAACCTGGTGCCTCCAGGCTAATTCTTGGAAATTTTACGATTTATTCCTTCGTGCAATCTACTTCATGCCTCGCTTCAACACTTTCCTGGACTTTAAAACCATAAATCAATGAATGGAAAAACTCATTCGGAATCTGGGTGTTACATCAAGCTTTACGATTAGCATAACGACAAAGCAGGGGATTGGAGGAGAAAACTAGTGGGAGTGAAAGAAATAAAAATCAGGGAGAAGGTGGGGTGTGATGGAGAAGTCCAATTCATCGTTATTTGGGTAGAGATTACAATGGTTATAGGTTCATCATTAGTTGTAGGTTTAGCGTGTTAGTTGTAGATGAAAAAGGTGTGGATACGAAGATAGATCATGGGTTTATTGTCAATGTAGTACTCGACTAAGAATTATGTTTTCCATAAGGTGCTTTCTCCCACGACCTCCAACTGTCACCACCACCACATCTCCCTTCTCACTTCTCTCTATTTTAGGTTAGGTAACAAAACCCCTAAATCGGGTTCATCTAAAAACGCAAGGAGAACCCCTAAATTAGTGGTGGTGGGTTTAACTTTAAGAGACGAAGGGCAGAAGCTAGGGTTCATGGTAGTGACGACAGTTTAGTATTGTCACATTAGAAGAAGCACCGGAGATGGGATTTGATCGTCGATGAGAAAGTGTGTTGTGAGCGACGGTGGTCTCTAGGCGGTGATCGGGCGGCCAGGTTTCCGACGGTGGTCTGTATACGAGATAAAGGGGGTTAAAATGGTGGAGGAAGATGTGGGGTGGGTGGAGAAGGTAGGACCCATTTTCGTTTTACTAGTTATAAGCTGCTTAAAAAAATCAATAAGGGTATATATGTCTTTTGACATAAATTAACCCATATATTTTGCGGTGTCAAGTCATAAGGACAATTCATGCGAATATTTTAAAACCTAAAGAAAATCTATTCAAAGAAATTTGTCATAAGGACCATTGTGATATATTTTTTAAAGCATCGGGACAGTTTGTGGATTTTTGTTAAAAGAAAGCATTAATTAATCAAGTAATTAAAGGAGGGATTGAATTAGGTGGTAAGTAAACTAAAGATGACATAAAGCTTGTCAGTCTGTCTTAATCAGAATTTTTTAATTTAATCTATTAATAATTTAAAGACTTTCATGTCCTTTTTATTTCAATCAACAACCTTAAAACAACAAGCACAACTTTTCTCATTAACGAACACTTTTAATTTATATTTAGAATGACAAAAAAAAAATAAGAAAATATATTGTTCATATTAAGGGCTCCGAGTTTGTGTCGAAATAGATTCAACTTTGTTTATTTGATAGAGTGACGTCTTCTAAAATTTAGAAAAAAATTTATACAAAATCATGAAAATATCATTAATACTTAGACCATTTCCAACTTTACATTATCTTTTACACCGAACAGTGTTTGGTAATATTTAAGTCTTATATAGACTGTCAAAAACGATATTCAATTTATTAGCAATTTATATATTTATTTATATATTGTTTGTTATAAAAACTTTATAAAAATATATAGTTTCAAAATCATAACCAACTAAAGTATTATATTTATAATATATCTGATCATCTTCCTATATTAATAAAAGAATAGTTATTAGTTTCATTTTTTATTTTCTCATAATTTATATTTTCTTTTCAAATGTTTTATAAAAATAACCATTTTCTCATCATTTTTTATTTTTAAAAAGTATTGATGTAGATAATAAGTTTGACAATTATTTATTTAATTCCTGATTTTTAGAAGAAATTTAAATTGGTCTTGAATAAGTTTCGGTTATAATTGCCGATAATTAATTGTATTGCTATATTGAAAATCCTACAAAATCATGTTTAATTAATAATTTATTGAAAATAATTGATTAATAATTATGAGTTTACAATACAAATTTAATTATTTTTGTAACCGTGGTTTCTACGGACTATCACCTACTATTTAATAAAGTAGAAGTAAACTGATTAATAGTTATTATATTTAAAATATATCTATTTATATTTAATAAATTATGGATAAATAAATATAAAATTTGAGGAACTAAAAGTGAGAGATAAATTTCTAACGTGTTAGATATTAGGAATAATATAACACCAATTTATTTTATATTATTCATGTACATTAAACCGACGAAAAAAAAATAAAATAGGATTAAAGAAAATTTTAACATCATTGTATGTAAAAAATGAGATTTGATTTTGGATTGAAGATGCCTTAAACTCACATAAAACAAAGTGCGGTTTAATTAATATGAAGAGACGACATGATCTAAATCATTTGATTTTGTGCTTTTCATGATTATATTAAAAGTTAAATAATTTATATTTGACTTTTTAAATATGAACTGAATTTTGTTCCAAATTTAATATATTGGATTACATTACAATTGTACATAAAAATAAAATACGTAAGACATCAAGACATTAAATATCCTATAAAAATCAGAAGTGAAATTATTTTGAGAAAAGAGATAGAATAAACAAGTATTTGCGAGGTCCAATAACAAAAGTTGCATGTGATATGATTAGAAGTCTCATTAAACTAGGTACTTAATTAATAATTTAATAAGAGATTAAAAAAGCACCAAATTCAATGCATATCATACCCTCCCAACATCCAACAAAAATGTGAACTTTCAAAATATTACAAACATTTATGTATCACACTCTAACTTACTACTCCCTCTATCCCAATATTATTGTCTACAGACAAAACACACACATATTAAGAAAAACATTAATTATCACTAACTTTATTTAATAAAATGACAATTTTGTCCTTACTTTGAATTTAATGTTCCATTAAATGCTTAGTTGGTTAAGTAATAATGAGGGGGTATTTAAGTAAAAATGTTATTTATTTTTAGAAGTGGACTATTATTTTGGGAAAAACCAAAAAAGAAAGATGAACTATAATTTTGGGACGGAGAGAGTAATATTTTGTTTATATATTAACAAATAGTATGTAAATTCCAAAAATACCCCAAAACAATCAAACTGAAAAAATGTTGCATCTTTACAATAAAAACAAGGGTTTTGGGGCCAACATCCGACCAAGACCATTGAATCTCTCAAAACGCCAAAAAAGGATGGTGTTTTGGATGAAGTTTCTTCTTAGGGTTTATTCATTCTATTCAAATAATTGATTTCTAGTCTTAAGTTGGTCTTGATTTAATGATTATATTAAACCAGATGAGTCTTGAGCTAGTCTGAATGGATTTAATGATTATATTAAACCAGATGAGCTCGAGACCAAAACATGGTCTTGATTTATATCATTAATAAACCAATAAACCATATTAGTTTGAGTTGGATACATTTATATCATGTCGAACTGATTTTTGGTTTAATGGTTATATTAAACCAAGATCAACTTGAGACCAAAACATAATCTTGGGTTATACCAATCACTAAACCATACCAATTCAAGTTCGGTAAATTTCTATCATGTCGAGCTCGTTTTGGTTTAACGATTATATTAAACCAAGATCAGCTCGAGTCCAAAACATGGTCTTAGTTTATATCATCACTAAACCATACCAATTCGAGTTCGATACCTTTCTATCATGTCAAGTTGGTCTTGGTTTAATGATTGTATTAAACCAGACCAATTCATGGTCTTGGTTTATATCATTACTAAACCAGACCATCTCGGGACCTGGGCAAGTGGGCAGTACAAATCTGAACTGCTTGCCCTTTGGTATAAACCGTAATGGTCACGAAATAACACAAAAGTTTGTTTTTCACAATTTGAATTAATTTCCGTTTTTGCTGTCAAGATTACACCAAAAGACATGACCTAAACATAATTAGAATCGAGATTAATGTTTTTAGCTGCGATAAACAGCCCAAAAAACATCTTCGATACATTCATAAACATATCCAACATACTAAGAACATCAATAACTACCGTATCTTGTTCTTTCTTCGATTTCCGAACAATTAGCAACATTAACATAATTAAAATTCACCCAAAAGGTTAACAACTTCCGATGATCATCATCTTTCAACCGACACCTTTCAGCACCTCCAAGCAGAAGCCGACACGAGCTCTCGACGTTGCCAGCAAAGCACAAGCAACGATTGTCTCTTCTCCACATGGAATTCACGAACAGGAGTCCTCTTCACCAAACACTCTGCTTGACTTTCTGTAAAATTACTGAACATCAATGGCGAAAAACCAGCAGATAAGAACAGATTTCGCCAATGCTGAGTCTTTTCAGGGAAAAGAAACCGACCCAAAACGATCTTTTCAATAGCTGGTTGAATCAAGAACCGCTCGATTTTCTGCAACAAGTCGTGGGTCATGTTCCCAGCGTCGAGGGATTCAAGCAGGTTTGAATACGATTGAAGGGCGTGAATCAAGTGATTAGAAAATGGTAAATCGGTTCTATCGCACCCTCGGTCAACAGATACAACGATTTTGGGAGATAGATTTTTCACGAATCGGAGAACTGAAGGGATTTGGGTTTGGTGATTTGAGAAGACATGAATTGGTAGGTTCACAGCAATGGCTTCGTTGTCAGATACATGAAAGGGTAACGACCATGAAGAAGAAGCAAGAACGTCGATGTTAACAATCTCAAAGTCAAATCCAACGTTGATTTCACTAGCGAAATGGATCAAATTCTCTCGGGTTAACCCTAATTCCAGCTGGTCGTGGCTTGAAGGTGAAGCAAAAGCTGTGATTTTTAACGAGGAAACGCCATTGTTACGTAAAGCAAGCTCTTGCATAAGTGAAGCCCATTGACCTCCATAACCAATATCGAAATCGATGATGTGAATCTGATCAAACCCATTAAGTGATTCAAGTAATGCTTGATTACAAGTGAAATTAGCGAACTGAATGAAAGGGGAGATCTCTGAGAATGATTTGTAAGCACCGATCTTGAAGATTAAACTAAAAGGTGAAGCGGTAGGGGTAGTTTGGGGATTAATATTGTTGAGTATCGAGTGTGTGAGTAATTGAAGAGCTTCTTTGAAATAAAAAGCTGCCCTTTCGAAAGGCTTACCGACTGGTGAAAGCTGATGATTGAGCCGCGCCAATATCCCTTGCGCGAGTATCGGATTGTTCCCGGATTGGATCAAATCTGCTGCTTTGAAAAGCTGGTCAATGATCCCTTGCTGATGCTGCTGATGATGATGATTAATGGCTACCATTTTCTTCATTGATGAAGATTTTTGAAGCAATTGAAGTGGGTTCGGAGTTGGACCCGAATCAAGAAACGGGTTCGTGTGCATTGAAGGGTTGTACTCTATGCTTCCTGGGTTGTGCCTTTTGGGTTGCGGTGGCATCAGGTGTTCAAATGGCAATTGTGGGTTGAAAAGATTTGGTTTTACATCAAATGGGAGCATCTGGGTTTCGTTTAACGGTGAAAAGATTTGATTTTGATGATGATGGTGGTTGTTGTTGAACATGGCCGGCGTCGGAGATGGTGGAAGTTGAGGGTTTGAGGATAAGTTTCCGATTTGGCTGACAACTGGGTTGCCGGAATCGAGACCTATACAACCTTGATCTACAACACCAAACCCACCGTTAAACTCGAAGTCACCACCGGGGTTTCCATGAAGCATTTTGTTTAAACCCATAGATGGGTCTTCCACATCACCCATGATCCACCGGAGCATGGCCTGGTCTTGGCTGGAGTCTCCGTTCTCCCAGTCCTCCATTCCGCCACATTTCTCTTCAAGAGGCAGTTGTTGAAAGTGGTGGAGGTCAAGAACTCCTCCCACATTGGAGGTGCTGGTTTCTTGATTTTCCGGCGGTGGCCATTTGGAAGAAAGCGCCGCCACCCCGGCTGTTTCAGCACCGCCGTGAGAAGAAGACAGGGTTGATGTCGAAGCAGGAGGACTTGGACTGGTGGTGATGTTATCCAGGACAGACCTTGGCTCGTTGAAGTAGTACTTCCTCTTCTTGTTTACCAAATTCTGAAAATGTACAAGTGGATTTGCATAAGGTACAAGAAACTGTGCGTCTTCTTGCTGGTTCTCCAACCACACCACCCCCTTCCCCTCGAATTCAAAGGGTAAGGGCATCCCCTTTTCCAGATTTCAGAAAACTTAGAAGAAAATGAAACCGAAAACAAAAAAAAAACAAAAAAAAAAAAGAAAAAACAGGTTTTGGAGCTTAAAAGCTATGAAAATGCATGTAAAAATGGAAACCCATATTGAAGAAGAAGAAGAAAACAGAAAGTGAATTGAGAGGTGTTGTTGTGGGAGGATGATGGATGATAGATGATGTGTTTTTATTTTTGGTTTGTGTTTTCTGGGATGAATGGAAAAATGGATGGACGGATGCGTGCAACATAAAAAAGTAGTCAAGTGCCCTTCATCTTCTCTCTCATCTCTAAGTATTTTCTTTAGTTTTTTAATAAAAACCCTTAAAAAGGTAATTAAGTAGACAAAATTATGCTATTGGCCCCTCTAGTTTGTCAAAACATCAGATTGGAGAATAAATTTAAAATTCCTACAGGCTTGATCCTTGTGGTTTAATATATTGCTTGCTTGGTCTTTTTCGCTTCTAAAATTATAGAGAAAATTACAAAATGGTCCATGTGGTATGCTATAATAGGCATGTAATGTCCAACTTCAATAAAATGGACAAACTTGGTCCTTGTGTTATTTGGATATTACAAACTTGGTCCCTCCGTCAAACGACGTCAGTCACTTGTCGTTTAATGCCCATCACATGCATAGGTGGATTGATGCACCGGGTTTGATACGCATGTGGGTTTGAGGTCAGGAGTTCAAATCTTTGAACCTGTTAAATTTGTCTTTTGCAATTATGACCCGTGTGTGGGAAGTTTTCCCTGGAAATCCCTTGGGGGCTGAGTTTGTCATGTAAAGGAGCTCGAACTCGAGGTCACCATTGAAATATTGTGGTGAGGCTTCCGCTAAGTCGTTTTCCCTTTCCAATATATATATATATATATATATATATATATATATATATATATATATATATATATATATATATAACGTGCATAGCATGTGAGGGTATGTTTGTCCTTTTACGTAGCTCGTTCAATTACCTCCATTTAATTAGCCTAGATATAGCATATCATATCAAACATCGTCCTTCATGTTTGTGTTTACCAGGAAACTTGTTCCCTTCGTTCTTCTTCACCTTCCCAAGAAAGAACCAAAAGCTCAAAACCCTTTCATTTTCCTCCATCTTCACTGCAAAGGTTCCAAACTTGCAAACCCAAATTTTGCTAGTGTTGAAATTTGAAAGTTTCCAACATTGTGGAGTCTACGTGATGGATCATCCTCTGATTTCAACTTGAAGGAAGTTTATTATAAGTTGTTGTTTTTACTTTTCCCTTTTAATTTTACAGCTTTAAGCATGAAGATGTTGTTTTAATCCTTTTTTACTTGACAAACTATAGGTGGATGTGCAGATATGTTCACGAAGATCCACCATGGGGGTGAGTTCACTCACTCACCTGGACATAGGTACGTGAAGGGTAGAATAGGTTATGTTGACTACATCGATATTGAAGAGTTTTCAGTCCATGAGTTGGATTTTATGGTCGAAGAACTAGGGTATAGTTTTCTAAATTGAGAGTTGTGAACTACTACTATATGAACCTGATTCAAATTTAGATTTCAGCTTGCAAGCTTTAGGTAACGATCAAGATGTCATGGTAATGTCAAACTACATTGTTAAGCATAAACAAATGAGTATTTATATTGAACATGATATGAACAATATGCACACTTTCTTCATGTCCCCTAAAAAGGTCATTATTGAGGAGCTTGTTGAGGAGGGTTCACTTGAAACGGTTTCAAAGAGAAAACCTATTAGGAGTGGTAGTTCTTGTAAGAAGAAATAAATATGTTGAATATAACAATTACTATGGAATCCTAAGTGAATGAAAACTTGCCTCTTGTGGCATTTACTCAAGCCATACAAAGTGAAATCATTGACCAGGTCATCAAGCATGTACATGACATACAAGATGAACCAAATGTAAAAAATGTTCAAGCTCATATGCATGATGAAACATACTCTAGTGAGGAGTTGGAAGTTGAGTATGAGACACATTTACACTAAATGGTTAATGGTAATAATGTTGAAACTCATTGCCAACCTGAAATACATGGAAGCAATGATGATGCAAATTTGTTTATTGTAGATGAGATGTGTGTAAATGAGGGTGAAGGTGTAACAAGAGAATTTACGTGAAACACTAAAGGTTGATAAAGCAAGTATCATATCAGTTAATTTTGGTAGTGATGACCAAGATAGTTGTAACGTCCCAAAGATTACAACCAAAAATTTCGATTTTTATATTAATAAAACCATTATCCAAAACAATATCATAAAACCATAGTGAAATCAAAGTATGTCAATAAACATCCAAATATATCCAAGTCATATAAAATACGGAACAATGTGGTGTCTGCAATACACTCATCCCGATCTCTTCCCCTTCGAACCAGAAGTACCTAAAACATAAACTGAAAATCGTAAGCACAAAGCTTAGTGCGTTCCCCAAAATACCACATACCATACATATCAAACATATAATGGGCCTCGCCCGTCATCGGGCCCCGCCCGACATCGGGCTCCGCTCGGAACAGATCGGCCAGTCATCAGGCCCCGCCCGATATACATACAAACATATAAACACATGCAAGAATAACAAAGATAAATAGCATACAATATAATCATTAGGCCCCGCCCGGCATCGGGCTCCACCCGGTATGCATATCAGATATCATACATGCAAGAGTCACGTAGACTACTAGCATCCTAATCATAATAAACTATGGGTCGACATTGGTTCCTTCAACCCGCCAAACACAGTGAGGAAACTCACCTCAAGCTGTTGAATCTCTCAAATAAAATCTTGGATTGCTGATCCGGAAAAATCCTCACGCTAACACCATTAAATGATATCCAATTAATAATTGGTCCATAATCCAAAACTGGAATCCTAGTCTGAAGTCCAACCCTCAGGGTAAAAGTCTATTTTACCTTTTCCTCACTTGGCCCAAAATCTGAAGCCCAATCCAATAGTATCAAAAGCGCAATATGGCCCGGCTTCCTAATTGGGCCCAAAACCCATCATGGGCCTAATTCTAAGAAGGCCCAAAGCCTTATAATTCCCCAATATCAAAATACTATTGGCCTAACCAGGTCCAAACCCTAAAAGTCCAAAATTTAACCTAATACGCAAAAGTCAACAAAATTCAAACTAGAATTACGTTCATCGTACTCCTTCCGAGGCCAGTACGTGTAGCATGCGAGATGGGTACGCTCCACGTACTCCGCAGACGACCAACCCAACCATTAAGCACTTAATCGGTTAAGTCATTAAGCCAAACTCTCAGATCGGATCCTAAATGGTGACTTAACACGTAAAGTTTGCAACTTTACTCCCATGCATGACTTAATGGACCTAAAACTCAAAAAGAACCATATTAAGGATCCTAACACATGCATGGACCAATATAACTCATAAAGATTGCAGTTTTATGGACAATGGACCTCAAAGGTGTTAAGATCTAACATCCATGGCTTTTGGAGTAAACTATAATCTCAAATATGGCTTAAAGGACCCAAAAATGCACAAATAACACCCTAAATTGGATCTAGCATACGGAACCATCAAGTTGAGAGCTTTATACCTCAAATAGCTTGGAAAGATGAAGATGATTCTGGATCTAAAAGCTCAAGCCACTCCCAAGCAACTTACAAATGTTCTTCTTCCTTCACTTCACCAAAAACACCACCAAAACTCACTTCCAAGCTCAAATCTCACAAATGGCAATTAGGTTTTCGATCTTAGGGTATAAAGAGATGGAGGCTGCTCATAAGGTGGTCCAAGGGTGTCATAAGTTGTTTAAATAAGGCACAAACCCTAAAATTTAGGGTTTTCCCCTGTATTGCGTACGTCCTGCGTACTCCCACGTACGTGGGTACATTCGCGATCCAATTAACGAGCCAGTACGCTTAGCGTACTCATAGAGTACGCCCCACGTACTGAGCTAGGGACGAAAATGAAAGAAATTTTACATTAAGGGTTAAAAAAGAAACATACCACCAGACTCGAATGTTACAATTCTCTCCCACTTGAATTAGACTTCGTTCTCGAAGTCCGCTGCCCCAAATAACTCTAGGTAGTGCTCCCTCATCTCGTCCTCCGGCTCCCACGTCCATTCTGAACCCTTGCGGTACTGCCACTGAACTTTCATCAACTCAAAAACCTTGTTCCTCAAGGTTTCCGTCTTCCTGTCAAGAATCGCCACCGATCTCTCGATATTGTTCAGACGATCATCCACCTGAATATGCTCCAATGGAACAACCGCGGAATCATCCACCAAAGATTTCCGCAACTGAGAGATGTGAAATGTGCTATGGATCTGACTAATCTCCTCGGGAAGATCCAAGTGATAAGCAATCCGGCCCACCTAGGCCAAAACCCTGAAAGGAGCGATATACCCGGGGCCCAACTTGCCCTTCTTCCTGAATCGGATGACACCTTTCCAAGGTGACACCGTCAGGAGAACCATATCCCCAACCTGAAACTCTAGATTTGATCGGCGCTTGTCGGCATAGCTCTTTTGCCGACTCTATGCTGTCTGAAGTCTACTATGGACCTATTGAATCAACTCAGTAGTCTTGAGTAACACTTCAGCACTCCCTATAACTCGCTGACCGACCTCACCCCAGCATATCGGTGTCCTGCACTTCCTCCTATAGAGCATCTCAAAAGGAGGTCAGTCAATGCTGGCATGATAACTGTTATTATACAAAAACTCTGCTAGAGGGAGATACGTATCCCAACTCCCACCGAAATCCAATACACACGCCCTAAGCATATCCTCTAAGGTTTGGATAGTCCGCTTACTATGCCCGTCAGTATGTGAGTGGAAAGCTTTATTTAAGTGCAGACGGGTACCCAACTCCTCGTGCAATCTTTTCCAAAACCTAGAAGTAAACCAGACATCCTTGTCTGAAACTGATGGGTTTTGAGCATTACAACACTCATATGGTGTACATGCAACCCTAATTGCTGTGGATCTAA